GTCTTTTGGTGCCGGTGGTTAGGGTTCTAAGTGTCCGGTGTTAGAACAACCAAACGACGAAACAACATCCCACAAAAGAACGTGTGTGTCAGGCCTCAAGCAACTGTCCCCTGGACTCTGCGTCACGCAATTACTTTTCCCTTCCATGTACCGGAAGAAGAAATAGTCTTCTACAATGGGGAAGCTGGAAAGTGTCAACAGCATGCACGTTTCCAGTACTACACATCATCCAGTTAAACATAACCTATCCTTTTCAACTATGTCTCCTTCCTTACCTTCATATCATGAAAGTAATATTAATCCTCTTACATCTCAAGCAACCTCTCATTCTGTAACCATTGTCAACGATAAAGGCCATCGAAAACCTTATAACTAGTCTCCTGATACCCCTCCACTGATTCTATGTAGAAGCTTTCATCTTCCGAACTCTATGCCAAATCAGGCAGCAAGCATCGGTCGCCAAACTTTGTACTCTCTAGCCATCGATATATGCTATCTGTGAGATACGTATATAGAATCAGAGTGTGGTTATTAAATTGATCATACTTGGCCATGGTAGTGGATCTTCAAAATTCACCTTGAGAGTATTCGGAGACCCGATAACTTGTTCTCGTGAACTCACTGGTATAGGCATAGCATTAAGTTGTAAATCAAAAAGTACGCCTCTCCACTGGATACCAGTCAACAGTCGTCTATGTGCTGTTCAGCTCAATAGATCTGCGAGGACTGGAAAGGATCGTGAGATCAGGCAATGCCTATTCGTAATATCCGCATAAGCACCCACTGACTGTAGTTCGGATGATGCGAAATATAAATCCTTTCAACTCTGCTACAGAAAGCAAAACGTTTAGACGTAGTCATAATGGCTGGTGACTTTAGTGCTCAGGTAGGTAAGCTGAGCCAGTCAGAAAGGCATGTTGGGGGGTATTTACGGAACCCCACGCCAATGAAAAGCCAATGGTGGTTGTTTCTTGCAACTTTGTTCGGACAACCACTTGTTTCTGGCCAGTACCAACCCTAGACATAAGGGGAGACATTATATCACATGGTGTCCACTGACTTAAGACCAACGATGAATACTGACAGATCACATTGCTATGGGCCATCGTTGGAGAAGATCGTGGGAGAGTGCCGCTTTTTCTGGAATATCGGTTCGGACTCAGATCACGCACTAGCACTGACCGCAGTTGTCAGTTTTTCGATCCTAGTCACGCGTTTATCCCGTTTCGCACCTGCCAAATGTAAGGTGATACTCCAGGACTGGTCTGCTGCTAGTACTCCCAGCTTAATGGTAAGGAACGAAGTGGTGGAATGCATCAGCATCGTCCCTAACCTGTGAAGTTGTATCAGCACCAACGGGCTGCCTGCTGAAGAAATCCCAACTTGGATAAAGAATATCCATTTGCCACCTTGCGTCACCTATAGAGCCGACTGGCGAAATATCCGACTACCTATCAAAAGATGAGTAGGCTGCGCTGTAATTCGTTCTATTCTGTTTTATGGCCATGATATGGCAGTTGAAAAGCAGAAGATATGAAGCGACTACAGGGTTTTGATCACAGATGCCTTCGTAGCATTGCTCGCGTCTGGTGAAATCATCGTGTGAGGAATTTTCAGGTCAGGCGAAGGGTACTAGGCAAGACAGGCAAGTCGATTGATGAGGTTGTGAACCCTAGTAGACTGAGATGGTTTGAGCAGGAACTGCACATGCTGATCCACCCCCTACCTCGATTTGCCATGCTAAGCGAAGCTGGATCAGGTTAGAAGAGAGTTCAGAGTAGCCAGACTAAGACCCGGAACCAGCCGATCAACTCTCTTATTTTTAGTCTGAGACGTGTGGGGTGATGTAAACTGTCTGTTTGGGGTCCTCGAGATAGTAGGAATCTGTGGTTAGGGACTCTTTGTGACATGGATGAAAACTGGCTATAATGGTGGAGATGTATTCACTCCTGACTTCTTCTAAAGCTTGAATGATTGCACTAACCCTGTTTGTTCTCTCAGACAACTTTCTCTACTTAGATGTCACTCTTTTTCTGCCCACCCTTTCTTTGTGTATTTCTGTGAAATGTGGAAACTTGAGCCGCTGCACCTGTATGGGAGGTTCTACTTTGATTCTGTCAGCTTGTAAGGTCAGAACAAAATCAGTCAATCAACGAATAACACACAAACAGTATGAATTAATTAGAACACTACTGTTTCGACAAAGTTGCAGGGTGGCACATTTCTTGAAGTGTTGCGGTTCATAACCACTGCTCCACAAATAATCTGTTGAGAAAGATGAGGACGTCTGATTGTAGATATCAACAATGCCTAACACTGACAAAAATACAACACAGGATAGCGAGTGTGAACTCAGTGTTTGGAAGACGGCATATAAAGGTAGCAGTAAGCTACTTGCTTCTAGCTATAGACCAATTTATTGGTATCTTCAGTTTTTAATGACATGGAATGAGTAGTAATTTACTCGTTATATGATTGCCAACCTACGAACTCAATCCTAAACGACTGTCAACACGGAGTTCACATGGAAGTTCATGTAACGCTAACCCGTTGACGGCATCGAATAGTTGAACTTTCTCTGCTGAGGAAAAAAGTCGCTCATATTGAATTGCTTGACATTTCAAAGTCTTTGACAGGCTTAATTATGATATCCTGTGCAAACACTTCAGCTAATTGAGGTACAAGGTAAGTTTCTCACTTGGTTTAGGGTTATTTTAACAGACTGTCATAATCGCTTAGAGCGGGCTCTTTACTGTCTAAATGGTCTGCGATGCTGAGTGAGGTGCATCATGGCTATAACACTGACCCACGGTCGTTTCCTGCTTTCAAAAATGAACTGCAAGCCTAAGTCCTTACTCACTGCAACATCCTGACGATCTCAAGATTTGAAGAGAGATATAGGGAATGATACGCATTGCGGTCCCACGAAAGGACGTTCTGATAGTCAATAAACAGACAAATACAAACATGCCTATTCTTCACTTAGAGTGTAAAATAGTGATTATGGACAAATACAGGTGTGATATGGTTCCTGTTTCCTGAGGGAAACAAACATTTACCACACAAATATTGAAAAAGATCTCGGGGTAACTTTAAGTGACACACTTCCCCCACCTGTCCATTCTTGCCCAGTAGCTAACAAGGCATATGTGGTCCTAGGGTTTCCGTATCAAAATCTAGGGAGCTTAACTCTGAGTTTTTCACTGCAGTCTGCAGACTAAATTTCTATACTCATCTGGAGAAAAACTCAGTAGTTATTTCCTCATGTCCTAGAACGAATTCAGAGAAGAGCGACAAAGAGTGGTTGGACTACAGCACAAATCTTATCTGAATCGCATAGTTGGTCTTAGGGTGGATGTAGTACAGTACCGGAGGATCAGAGGTTTGTTATTTAGCCCGAATTCCTTTCCATCTCAACTAGAAGCTCTGAAGTTTCAATCAAAAACACCACCTCGGTGGTCATACTTTCAAATTACTTTCGATGATTAGCTCTGGTGCATTTGCAGATTGAGGATATAAACTGCGGAAAAATTTTTCAGAAGAATATGTCACACCCTCTCTCCTAATCCTTTCAAAAGGAGGTTTGAAGCACACGTAGAGTCATTCGGTGTAAGAGAGGTGTAGTACAGAAGCCATCAATCGTCTTACAAACCACGGATAGCCGCACTACCTATAGTTAGTTGATGAATTAATTGATTATTTTTGTCCTTTTAGGATTTTATGAATCAAGAAAACAACTAGCCATTCCGAACAAAGCACGTATTCCATTAAGGCATGCGTGAGACCCAATGAATCATTCTTCACTATTTCTGAAGAAAGAAGTTTGAAGTACCCACAAAAGTGTGAAAGCATCTGAATTGTACTCAACGTTTTCACAAAGGTGCATGCAGACTCCAAAAGTGTAGTATATATGGGAATAAATTTGTTATTCCTATGCCCAATTCCAAGGCAAGTAATCTTCGTAAGTAAACAGGCTTTGTACAAGGGCGAACGTTAACAAAAAATATTAAGTTGGAGATGCTCAGTCAAACATAGTGCGTAGATAATGTGGTGCATGAAAAAACCCTGAACCGCAGAATTGATGCGGGTGATGCTAAAATAGTGCGTACATTACGTAGGTATTCCGTGCAGTGATGTCTCAGAATTAGTTAGAAAGTACTCCAATATCTGCCTCTGCAAGTATCAAAAACACCAAGCGCGTTTAGCGGATAAGATCTTTAACGATAGACTACTCATGCAGTGAAGGAAAAAAAGACAATTTCTGGTGAGTTACTAAAGTCCTGCGCAGGCCAAAAAGGCGGAAACGAAGCACATATAGGAAAAATAAGTAGGAAAGAAAACGAAAATTGTAGGGAAATGCAACCATTTTTTCCTCGATTATCTCCTTTTCCCCTTTGAAGTCGCCTTCCTCAATCAATCTACATATCTACTTTCCCCTCAACGTCGCTCCCTTCCCCTCACTTGTCTATTTTTTTCATTCATTTCCCCATTACTACCAGACTAATGTTACTTGAAAGGCTGTCAGATTTTGATTGACGTAGAGCCATTTGCAAAACATAGCGCTAGACGTAGGGCCATTTGCAAAAACATAGAGTCGGACGTATAGCCAAAAAACACCAAGCCAGACGCAGTGAAAATGCAAAAACGCCTGATTCTACATTTTATATGACGTTTTTTGAAGTGGATGGCTCAATATATGCGTTTTGTTCCGAGTTTTCATTGCAAACTGCAACATGCCTCCCTTGGTTTGCCCCGCGTAAATGCTTACTGGGATACTCTAGCCGCATGAGGTTGAAAAACTGTTCAAAAACTGTGCCTCACTTTTTAGACAGTGAGTAGTCCTATTTGGCTCAATGAAAATGTTGAACGGAATATTAAAGAGGCCTCATGGTTTCATGGGAACCCGTGACTGACTGAATTAAAATATATATGACAAGACCACTAAACAAAATCCAATACAAAAGTTGTAAACTTGTGTTACTCAGCGAATTTGTAGTCACCTTTGATTTTCTCCACTGCACTTGGCCCTTCAAAAATATTCATGTTTTATGCAGCCTTGAAGACCATGACTACTGTAACTCAATACCATTTTAACATAGCAAAACTACAGCTGCACAGTGTTCAGTTTCAAACACCAGTTTTACTTAAATAGCTATGAAGATAGTAGACCAGTGTTTTTTATCAACCCCAACGGCAAGAGTATTCTGTGGATACCATTTATGCAATATATATCGGGTCCAACATCCAACATCAACTGCGAAAGTGTAGCGTCATACACTTCCCCAAAATCAATAGCCTAGGGTTTGACGACTTTCGACATTAACGCTGACCTTGATAGCTTAGCTGGACTCACTGAGCTGACGGCACCCGATCAAGCATCCTCGCCATTTGGCACGCTGTCGTGTTACGTTGCACTGCTCGTATTCGACTCTTTAGCCAGTTAGTTGGAACGCATCAGTATCTTGGCACAACCATCCAAATATACCATTCCATCCGACTACGCTATCGTGTTCTTCCTTGGTCTAGTACTCGTTGGTATATAACAAGTCCGAATAATTAATGATTGGTCTTTGCGCCCGTCAACTTAGCACCAGGACAAATCCTAAAAAAGTAGTGGGAACATGCAGTCTTTGAATTTTAGCTCCTAGGACTTCGAGACAGGTCACTTAAATTTTGTTTACACTCAACTGATAGCTTCACAAGTCTTTCTAGTTTTCCTGCTTATACCTTTGGAGGTGGTGATTATCTGTTTGTGGGTTTTTATTGCATATTGCGGGGGAAATTTGTTCGGGAGGGATGGGGCTACTGATAAAATCAATTACCATTTTGCAGTTGCTGTCTTTATAGGCACCTCCTAGTAAGCACTCACTGTTGACCAAAAGATACTGCTAGTAATGCGGTAACTGGAGAGTGACAGAAGAACAGGGAAAAGTATATATAGAGAATGAGTGTTTAAAAAATGCCCTGGTGTGAGCTGAACAGATGCAGAGGCCAGTCACTGATTATTCGAACTTGTTATATATCCACGAATACGAGACCAAGAAAGGGCACAATAGTGTAGCCAGACGGGGTAGTATATTCGCAAGGTCGTGTCAAGATACCTATGCGTTCCGACCGAATGGCCAGAGGGTCGATTACAAGCAGTGCAACGTAACACGATAGTGCGCCAGACGGCAAGGGCTCTTGACCGGGTGCCTACAGCTTAGTGGGTCCGGTGAAACTATCAAGGTCAGCATCAATGCTGAATCTCGTTGAATCCTGGTCTGTTGATACTGGAGGAGTGTTTGACGCTAAAAGCTCAATAAGCTTCATGCTTCTAATGCAAAAATTACCAAGTCTACCTATTGCGCAGTTATTTCTTGGAGGTATAATCAAGTCGCCTCCGGCAAGTCGTTGCCCACGCATGGGTTATGGCAGAGAAAAGTTTATTCAACAAACATAATTATTTTCGCAACACTTGTGATAGTCTGAAACACCGAGGGAACTGGCCTGGCCTATACGTTGCGGCATATCTTGATTTCATACTAATGTAAACTGCGTGGCGGGTGAACGTGGATTGTGAAGAGAGGGAAACAATTGTGCACGAAAATGTTTTCAAGTGAGCCGAAACTGGCGGTCAATTTTGTCACCTGATTTTGCAGGATTTGCATGGGTTCAGCATCACGCGGCCCTGTGCTACAAACGTGATGACTAGTTGGAAAAATTGTTTTAGTGACCAATTGAACTACCAGTTGAGTGTCGTTGACGTTCTGGATTCGGTCAAAGCGTTGCCCAACGTTCCATATGGCGCCTGAGCATTCCGTATTGGAAATTGACAGTTGCGCGCCATGCTTTATGCTATAAGCGCATGCTTATAAAGCATGCTTATCAGGCTCGAAGCCGTCTCTGAGTATGAACATTTAGAGACGCGTTTCGTGAACCCTAATGCGGAAAAAGCAGAATTAACCAATTTCCAGGTGGCAGAGTGCCATCAGTGCACACTTTAATTTATGCATATTTCAACTAGCTTAAACAGTAAGGATAGTAGCATGATGTCCCATGCTGTTCAAAGTACTAGAAAGATGAGGTCTGGAGAATGTTTAAAAAAAGAACACCGTTCATTTGCAACGGCACTTGGCACAAGTTCCTGCAGCGAATTCATGACTGGCTTGTAAAACTGTACCTCTATCTAGAACGACAGAAAACCAGTCCATACCAACTATGCCGAACTAGGAAATTCATTTATGTGATTTGTAGTCAAAGGAAATCGTTATGCTGTGACCTAATTCTTCCTAATTTTCTTCCGAATGTGCCAATTTATGGTTTTACGATATCCATAGAGTCTAGCTTTTTGCAGTGTGAGGTGTGACGCTAAGGAGTTGGGACTGTAGTGATGGTTGAAAAGTTAAGGATGACAGGTATTCAGGTGGTAGCAGGTTTGGTCGACTGGTTACGTTAGCTCACTTTCAAGACCTCCTCTCTCATATTCTGCTTTCCGTCCATTCTAACTCGTAAGAGTCGCTCATTACTGAATTATTACCCAGGTACAAAGTGAAATACCGGATAGGACGAGCTATTCATGTTTGCAAGTGTAGGCGTAGATGTTTTAAGGAAATGGATGGGAGTGAGTGACGACGAACGCAGCGAAAATGTCATTGGGTATGGAATGGTGATCAGTGATGCAGATGCGTTTGTATCGCATTAGATCGGTCAACGTTCGAAGCCAGCTGGTTGTACTTAATGACCTTCGGTTTTCTTGATAGAAGAGCTTTCGAATGTGAAAGTCGCCTCAAGACAAATATGAAACTGATATTTTTAACATTGATGTTGGGAATAGAGATGAATCTTTGATATTGTATGGGCTGTCTACAGTACTTGGTTAAATATATATGCTGATATCTCAGGTTTCCCAACCATACATTTGTGACGAGGTAGTTAGTTTGGTCTTCTTTCATGGTCTAGGCGTGCAATCACAATTTAAGCACGAAGATGTATGCTTTTCATCTATTGTTGTAAGGGCTGCATTGATGAGGTATATTGAGCTTTTGCAAAAGCAACTTTGTGCACCAAAGCAAAAAGTTTCGTCATTTTCTATGCATGGGGAAGATATTTCTCATGTAAGAGTAGGGGGAGGAAATAGTCATTACAATTTTGATCAATTGTAAAACTATGGCGAAAATGTAAGATTGAAAACTGGTTATAAAGGTTCTGATTAGGAATCAAAGCAGTTTTCCTATTATAACTACACTGAGTTTAGATGCCATGAAACAGAGTGGGATCCAGACAGTTGATCAAGACGCCACGAAATTATCAGCCATTCATTGATATGGGAAACATGGCTGTTTCGATGACTACAAGCAAAGATATCTATTCACTTAATAAACTCTGTATCCCACACTATAACTACCTGTTTGTTTTTGATTCTTGTAAACAAAACAAGGTTATATGTTGTACAATGTGTTGAAACAGTACGTTATTGAAACTCAGCAACCATTTGGAATTTCCTTGGACTAGCTAGACAGTGAGGCACATCTATTATGTGAATGCTGACTACGCTGACTAGTCGCCCATACTTCAGTAGTTAGAACGGGTTTCGGACTTGCATTCCGTTGGTTAATCATCATCATCAAGATCAATATAGTTCCGATGGTTAGAAATTCACAAAATAAACGAGTGGGCTGCAGTTCTACATGGAAGTGTAGGCGGTAGCACCACATTGTGCGTACCGACGTTTTTGTGTTTGTAAATCGCTAGCTGAACACTGCATCTCAACCTAAGAAAACCGAGAAGCAGAAGATACTGGCAGTAAATACGAAGCAAGAAGACTTGGAGATCCTTTCAAAATGTATTCATTCATATTAGCCACGGAGGTATCCAGAAACCAAACTTTACAATAAATAACTGGCAACCTTTTAAAATCACATATTCAGTGGTTCGTGTTTAGTTGGTAGCTGTCTGGTTGCCTATACCCAGCTCGTTTTAAAATCTACGGTTTCTGATTTTTGTTGATTTCTTGACAGAAGTGTATGTTTTATCGTCTAAACATATCGATGAAGGCGGACTGACAAATCAGGGTCAATTCTGACATAGGTGTGCATCATTTCACGTTGCCACATGTCATAGCAGCATGCAAAAGGAAGTAGTTGGAAAAAGTGACACTGAAATAAACAAAGGTGTGTCGGAAAGAATAAACAGATAAAATTTGATGATTATTACTATGATAATAACTTGAAAGATGGGAAGGTATGTATGTTCATACACTGTTGTGACTGGCTTTTAGCCATTGTGCTAGGATCCTTCCACCACTAATTTCTATCGTCTCGAGGTCCTCAGTCTAACAACAGTCATGGATTGATCTCAAGTCTATATCTGGAGACCCATAACCTTCGTCCAACCCAATCCTACTTCGACTAACACCACATATCATGGTAGGCAATTGGTCAGCCTTCGCAACCATGATAGAACACTTTTGTTTCACCTTGCTGATGACCTAAGCCTTTTTATAGCCCCGTCGGAATTCTCTGTTCTTCTGTTTTACTCACGTTCAATTAGTAATCAGCTAAACTATATAAAATCTCCAGCTTACTTGATCAAACTATGCTGCATTTTAGTCACTGAAATTTGGGGTACGTCAGATACCTGAAACCTCAGGCTCGCGTAAGATAATTACAGTTTGTATCGTATTGACCGCAGCACTTATAAAGGCGGATTTGCATCGCCCACGTTTGCTCTGATTTTTCATCTTCGAATGCTTTCCCGTTTGGTTGAGACCTTTCAGGTGATGCAGCATTCATGAATATTAACACTTCCAAACATTACAAAATTACCGTTGGTAGCCTATACAGGTCACCTCACGCTGGACCTTCTGTTGACTAGCATATCAACGAAATGTTCAAGTCGCTGTCATGCCTGCCAACTCGTACAGTAGTAGGTGGTGATTTTAATATGTCGGGTATCACATAGCAGACACTGCGGGAGCCATCTCGTTTCAAGCTATTCTTTCAAACCTTAGAAACCAGTGGATGGGTTCAGGTTGTTAATAGCTGTGCTCGGCGAAATAAACTACTTGACCTGATTTTTTTAAA